AGAAAACAACTCGAGGTAGTGTCATTTCAGTGTATATCTTGGTGGACAAATCCCAAATCACTGTTATTTTTCAAAGAAAAAAAATCCTTTTTTTCCTATTTAAGGGCAGCCTGATGAAAGCATTCCTAACTCTCAAGCTCCTCTTATTGTTTACATGGCTGGCCCTCCCCGTTCTTACATGCATCTTGCCCCCAGATGGCTTTTGTTGGAGATTAATATCAAAAGAGCATCCACCCATGATGTAACAATCCTCTGGTTTCGAGGATTTTTTTATGTGGAATGAATTTTCTTTAGTGCTTTTGCTCCCCCCCTTTTAATGAAAGTCACATATATGCACTGTAGAAATAATAAAAAATGCAGAAAAGTGTAAATTTTAAAATTAAACCTCCTTGAGTCAACGTGGGAAGAATTGTTTAAAGGAACTATCACTGAGTACCAAAGCAGTTTTTAGCATTTAAGTGATTTGATTAAATTATGGATAATCCTCTGATTAAACACTATATTGTAGGAATGATTCATAACCATCTCCTCATGCCATTGTTTTCACCTAGCTGTTTATTTGAAAAATCATGATGGCTGTTTTCTCTTGCATAAATGTCAATCTCTGCTGAGAAATGCCATCAGATGCTTTTCTGCAAATCATAGTTTGGAGTGTATTCTTCTTTAGAAAATTACCAGCATTAATTTGAATCTCCCTGACGGCTAGTGATGATGAACATTTTTTCATGTGTCTGTTAGCCATTCGTATGTCTTCTTTGGAGAAGTGTCTGTTCATGTCTTCTGCCCATTTTTTGACGTGATTATCTGTTTTGTGTGTGTTGAGTTTGAGGAGTTCTTTATAGATCTTGGATATCAGCCCTTTGTCTGTACTGTCATTTGTGAATATCTTCTCCCATTTCATGGGTTGCCTCTTTGTTTTGTTGACTGTTTCCTTTCCTGTGCAGAAGCTTTTGATCTTGATGAAGTCCCAAATTTTCGCTTTTGCTTTTGTTTCCTTTGCCTTTGGAGCCATATCTTGAAAGAAGTTGCTGAGGCTGATGTCAAAGAGGTTACCTCACATTGAGGTCTTTTAACCATTTCAAGTTTATCTTTGTGTATGGTGTAAGAGAATGGTCGAGTTTCATTCTTCTACACATAGCTATCTAATTTTCCCAGCACCATTGATTGAAGAGACTGTCTTTTTTCTACTGGATATTTTTTCCTGCTTTGTCAAAGATTATTTGACCATAGAGTTGAGGGTCCATATCTGGGCTCTCTACTCTGTTCCACTGGTCTATGTGTCTGTTTTTATGCCAGTACCATGCTGTCTTGGTGATCACAGCTTTGTAGTAAAGCTTGAAATCAGGCAGTTTTGTTTTTCTTTCTCAACAATTCCTTAGCAATGTGGGGTCTCTTCTGATTCCATACAAATTTTAGGATTGTTTGCTTCAGCTCTTTGAAAAAATGCTGGTGGAATTTTGATTGGGATGGCACTGAAAGTATAGATGGCTCTAGGCAGTATAGACATTTTAACAATGTTCATCATCACTAGCCATCAGGGAGATTCAAATCAAAACCATATTGAGATACCACCTTACACCAGTTAGAATGGTCAAAATTAACAAGACAGTAAACAACAAGTGTTGGGGAGGATGTGGAGAAAGGGGAACCCTCTTACACTGTTGGTGGGAATGAAAGTTGGTGCAGCCACTTTGGAAAACAGTGTGGAGATTCCTTAAGAAATTAAAAATAGAGCTATCCTATGACCCTGCAATTGCACTATTGGGTATTTACCCCAAAGATACAGATGTAGTGAAAACAAGGGCTGTATGTACCCCAATGTTCATAGCAGCAATAGTCACAGTCACCAAACTGTGGAAAGAACCAAGATGCCCTTCAACGGATGAATGGATAAAGAAAATATGGTCCATATATACTATGGTCCATCAGAAAGGATGAATACCCAACTTTTGTATCAACATGGATGGGACTGGAGGAGATTATGCTGAGTGAAATAAGTCAAGCAGAGAGATACAATTATCATATGGTTTCACTTATTTGTGAAGCATAAGGAATAACACGGAGGACATTGGGAGATGGAGAGGAGAGGTGAGATGGGGGAAATTGGAGGGAGAGATGAACCATGAGAGACTGTGGACTCTGAGAAACAAACTGAGGGTTTTAGAGGGGAGGAGGGTAGGGGGTTGGGTGAGCCTGGTGGTGGGATTATGGAGGGCACATATTGCATGGAGCACTGGGTGTGGTGTATAAACAAGGAATTCTGGAACACTGAAAAGAAATTAAAAAAAAAATTATCAACATTAAATATTACTGGCCTTGTAACAGAAAGAGACTGTAATAATTCTGGAAATTCAACATTTCAGGGCACCTGGGTAGCTCAGTCAGTTGAGCATCTAACTCTTGGTTTCAGTTCAGGTCATGATCTCAGGGTCACGAGATCAAGCCCCATGTTGGGCTCTGCACTGGGCGTGGAGCCTGCTTGAGATCCTCTCTCTTCCTCTGCCTCTGCCCCTTGCCACTACCCCACCCCATTCTCTCCCTTTCTCTAAAATAAATAAATAAATAAATAATAAAATATTTCAGAAGAATGTTGTGTAAATAAAACCAATAATAGTTACCACTCGAAATCCTTATGCTATACACCTTAAACTTACACAGTGCTGTGTGTCATTTTATCTCAATAAAACTGGGGGGAAAAGATTTATACATACATAAATATTTACCACGTGAAGAGATTAAAAGGAATTGGTTATCTTAATCCAACTCTTCTATTTTCTAAATGGTGGAACTGAGGTCCAGAAATGATTGGTGACATGTCCAGGGTCAAATCTGAGTGAATTAATTGTAGCCCTCAGATGAGACTTCAGGGCTCTTTGCTTTGCTAGTTCATGAATAGTGAACATGGTTTCCTTTGGGGGTGGTGAAAATGTTTGGGATATAGATAGAGGAGGTAGTGGAACTCAGTACCACTGGACTGTATACTTGAAAATGGTTAATTTTATGTTATGTGAATTTCACCATAATAAAAATATAGTAAAGAAAAAAAAAGGAATTAGTGAATCTCAGCACTTAGGACTGTTTATACCTAACACCTTAGAGTCCTAATTATTCAATATCCCTGCTAATCATAACTATGAGAAACTTGATTTCAAAATGGTGTGATAGAGAAATGAATTTCAACCATTTTCACCTTTCTTGCTTTGCTTTGGTAGTAGCAAACTTGAGTCATAGTTCTACTCTTGATAAGTCAAAGTGGTTGGTCAGTTGGTTGCATCTCCCATTTCAACATACACTAGGGAAAACACCACACTTCCATGACTCTAAAGCAGAGGAGCTTCTTTGGCATAACATAATGATTTTCAGTTCCAGTCCAATTTTAAAATTTTCCAAGAAAAGAAGACAAGAAAATAGAATGAGGAAGGAGAGGAGCAGCTAGTGTCTACTTCATTAACTGAGCAGATCTCTGTAGGTAAAGGGTCTGGACATAGCCGGTGATCCATTCCTCCTTTATAATTGGGAGCCTCCCACAAAGGCAAGACTGCATCCTACAGAGGCCCTGGAAGGAAATAAATAATCCATCCCCCCCACCCCCCTTCTGACTCAGGAAAGAATGATCTGTTGCCAAGAGCTGGTATTTCGGACAGCACTGCCTGGCCAGATGCCAAACTATGAGGCGGGATGTTGGAGTTCTTGATCTGGAGGATTCCAGAATGGTAGGAAGACTCTAGAGGTGTGCACCTCTCATGGAATTTAGAGGAAAGTGTAACAGTAGCCCAGTGATTGCTCTTTATGAGAAGCTTGTGTGTGTCTGAGAGAATGCCTTAACCTCCACGAGGAAGAATGGCACAGGAAAGAACCAGATCTATTTTTTTCCCTGTTTACTTGCAGATTCGCTGTGTGTGATCTTGGACAAGTCACTTCATCTCTCTGGATCTTTAGTTTCCTAACAGCTGTAATGCGATCCTTTCCAACTCTGAAGCTCTGTGATTGTCTTCCTATGTGGGCCTGGAAAGCACAGGGCTGCTGGGTAACCCTGCGAGCCCTATTTCAGCCAAGAGCTATTGCTGCTTGGAGCTCACACACTCCCTGTTTTATAACAAGAAAAACGTATGTTGCTGTCTCCTTGTTTTCTCGTTCCATTTTACTCAAAACAGTACTAATGCTTACCTTTTTGACTGTGGAGGTGACAACAAAAAGGTCATTGCCATGGGAAAATGACAAACCAACCAAAGTTCCTTTTGAAGTCTCCTTCCCATCTGGGTGGACAGCAGCCTTTGCTCTTGCTACCTGACTTTGGGCGGGTAACTTCTCCTCAATTTCTTCAAGTATAGAATGGGGATAACAATAGAACATAACTGATAGGTTCCCTTAAGGATTTAATGAGGCAACACATGTAAAATGGCTAGTAGGATGCCCGACACATAACAAGTACTTGATAAACATTAGCTTCTATCAGTATGTTTCACATAAGCCCAGAAGGAAAGTCCAAACGCTGAGTTCTAGGTCTCAAGGGGGAAAAACATTGAGGTGGGGTGGGGTGGGGGGCATCTTTCTTGGTCTTCTGTTTTCGCATATAGTTGACCCTACTATACTTCATGGTCCCATAAAGGTAACAACAAAAATGTGACAAGCTTCCCCTTCCCACACTATTCATGTGAAGCCATACGCATGTCCGAGCTAGCAGTATAAAATCGCCGATGACCACTATTCACACCTTGGCAAGAGGAATCATGTTTTGGAATAACTAATAATATTTCAAAGTCAAGTCACTCTTTCCTAGAGAGGGTTGGAGCCCCGGCATTTGGTGACAGTTCAGTACAGAGCCCTTGGAGGCAGGGAGTAGGTGATATTAACCTTCGGAACAGAAGGCGCAGCACAGGCCTGTGCCAGGGCACCCAGAGGGATTTAACATTCCGCGGCTCCCTGCCTCCCTCCCTCCCCCACGCCTCGACTTCCGCAAAGTGGTTTTTGAAACCCAAGTACAGCCCCAGTGCTCTGTGTAGGTGGTGACGTGGGCGGGGATGAAATGCAACCTTTATTTTCCTGACTGCCCGTCATCCAATTCCCCGTTTTCCTCTGACTTTCATGAGTGGTGAGGTCATCCCGGCGCAGGAAAATCAAACTCCTATTTTTCAGACCCAATGAAGGCCGGCATTGTGTGTCTGCGTAAACAGAGGCCAGACGGGCAGGGCGGCGGGGACGCGAGTGGCCCGCCCCCTGGCGGTCGCCTGGGGCAGTGGTGGCCCGAGCTCCACCTCCGGGAACCGCGGCGGGGAGGCGGAGAGGGTGCGTGCTAAAATGTAAGTTAAAATTAGATCAATAGTCAGCTCGGCTCTCTCAATCAATGCTTCGCAGGGCGAGCGTACGACCAGCTATTTATAAGCTAAACCCGGCATTATCTTCCTCTTTTAGGACGCGCGGATCCATTACTGCGCGCGGCGGGGGAGCGGATGCTGCCGGGAGCTGCCGCCGGCCACATCTCAGCCCCGCGGGCTGGCCGCGGCGTCATCCAGCCTCCGATCCGCGCGAGGTGGGGAGTGGGAGGAGACCTCCCGACCCGGGACTCCCCCCGCCCCCCGCTCTCTCCAGGACTCCTTCCCCGGCCTGCCCCCCAAAGGCTCGCTCCCGCCCGTTCTTTACCTCTATGGGCTCCTTGGTGTTTAAACACAGGCGGCCCCAAACGCAAACAATCATCAGGGGCTCTCCTGCGGACGCAGAGCGCACACCGGCCGCTTACACCTTACAGCCTTACAGGGCTTGACGGCCCCTTGAAAAAGGTTTCCAGCCCAGCTGCCTAGAGGAACTGCATTACTCAGTCCTTGCTCAGGCAGTTGTTGCTGTAAATAGCTGCGACCTCCCTCCACCCCCGTGCGAGCACGGATGGGAATGGATTTACAGCCATCTGTCTGATCACGTTGTATTTAAGGCCTCGGTGAGAGGGGAGTGTGCTCCATCCAGCCCATCCGTGCTGGGACAACAGGGCATTCCCAGGCCCGTTTGCCCCAGTGGGTGGAAGTCGTCTCCCATGTATGAAGAAATGTCCACAGTGGTATTTCTGTTGAAGTTGCTAAATGATTTTCATTTCTCAAAAGATGCTCCAGAAAAAAAAGGCATAATCTGATTCTGCACCGCCGCCTCAGAAACACAAGATCAAATCATAGTTCTGGGGGAAAATGTAGGCATTCTAGTCTTAGAAATGCATATAGCAAATGTTATATATGTATTTATATCGCTTTTCTTAATTTTTGCTTTTCTCTTTTTTACTATTTCTTTAATAAGCATGTACTATAGAGAGCCAAATAATTTTAATAGTAGCTTAAATGTACATTAGGTGTATTTATAGAATTAATGTATTGTTTGACATAAAAGGATTTTGAACTAAAGATAGACAGCAATGCGTTCTTCATTTAGAAACAACTTTTCCTTCCTCTTCAAATTCTGGTTGGCTTACCACCAAAATATATCCCGCATCTGTTCTTTTCTCCACATCCAGCCGGCCTTTAGCTTGGTCACACGTCACCATTCCTTATCCTTTTACCTGGACTGCAAAAATCTGGTCTTTCTGGCCTACCCACTCCACAGAGCCACCAGACTGCTCTTTTAAAATGTAAATCAGATGTAACTATCTTTTCTGCCTGAAGGCTTCCTTGGCTCCCCATTGCGCTTCACTTAGAGCCCCAGTTCCTCACCGGGACCGGAATGGGGTGTCTGGTCTGGCGGGGATCCAGCCTTGCTCCTCTGTCCTCCATTCTCGCTCTCTCATTTCTCCCATTTCCGCAGAGCGTGATTTGCGGGGGGGGGGGGGGGGGGGCGCTTTCTTTCTGAGGTTCCTTCCAGCCCCAGAGTCCTAGCTCCCGCTCTCCGCTCTATGCAGAGTTCTCTCTCAGAAGCTCTCCTCAGAGCTGCCTCCTCCTCAGCTCAGATAACGGATACCTTAGCTGACCACTACTTTTCCAGAACTCATCATCACTTTACCTTATTTTATTTGCAACAAAGCAGCTGAACCGAAACTTCTTTGTTTATCCTCTGGCTTACGAGCTTCTCCCTTTTCACTCAAAAGAACAGAAGCCCGTTGAAAACAGGCCTTTAAAAAAATTTCTCTTCTCCACTCTTTTGTTGGGTTCTACAACAGTGCCTGGCCCACAGCATTACTCAATTATCTATTTCTTGTATCAATTACTGGGTGTGATTTCTTAATGTCTATAGAATTATGCATAGTCTGCCTTGAATCTTCTAGTCATTTTTATATCCATATGCTTCCTCCTTTCAAGTGTGAACTCCTTGAGGCAGGATCATGTTTAGTTCACTTTATTCTCCATGGCCTTTTGGAGTCTGGCACGCCACACGCGTTTAATATATTTATTAGATTGACTTGCAATAAGTGAATGGGTAATAAGCGGATACAATAAGACTCCACCCCACGTGTAACTTTCACCAGGAAAAATATTTTGATATCCAAAGAGATAAATTGTTGCTTTGATCCTTATAGTACCACACACATGCACACGCACAGCACACACACATTAGCTTTCAATATTTCAAAGAATGTTCATATCCATTATTTTATTTGATCTTAATACCAGCTCTGCGAGATAGCCCTTATGATCTACACTTTACAAATGCAGGAACTGAAGCTCGGGGCACGAATTGACCTCCTCCAGCTTGAGCAACTAACATGAAGCGGACAGGAGGAGAGCTTGTTAATTTCAACATCCACACATAAGGATGCGTAAAAACACACATATGTACATACATACATACATGTCCACATTCGCTGGTATTTTTTTGTCTCCACCACACTCGCAGTTGGGACCAGATGGGATCATAAATACAAAGTATCTTGAATGGAATCTGGCAAGTGACAGGCTCCCAGTAAATGACCATTCCTTCCTCTTGCCTGCACTACGGTTGCCATAATCTCTCCATCCCAATAAAGAAGAATGCATCTGTCTTCACTTTGTTCTTTTTATTACTAGACTAATTTCCAGGATCCTTCTTATTGTGAAATATTCATGTGTAATATTAATTGGATGCTTTCACAGATCTGAACAATAGCAAATGAATTCTTCCTAACTGGCAACCTATTGCTCTTTCATCTTTTACTCTGAATACAAACTAGTGAGAAATGTTTATGAATACCGGCCAGAGCCCAGCTTAGCTTAAGTTATACAGTTCAGTGTCAATGAGAGAACGGCACATTAAACATGCTAAAGCTTATTAATCACGAACAAACACTAAACATAGCACAACCAGAGAGGTCAAGTAATGTGCAAAATTGGTTTTACAATAGGCAAAATAAATCAAGAGCTCATTCTGATCATTCATTCATTCATTTATTCATTATTTGTTGAATATTTTTTATGTGCCAAGCACTGTACTAAGTGTTGGGAACACAAAGGCAAGAGACAATAATCCATGAAGTCTCTACCAATATAGGTCTAGTAGAAAAGATAGACTTCAACCAAATAATCACACAACAGAGATCAATGTTGTGAGAGACAGAACAGGAGGAACCGACATGGGAAATTCAGGGGAGACTGCCTGGAGGAAGTGAGGATTAAGCTGAACTAGGTCCTTGGTGAAGGCCTGGCTCAATGCCACCAATGGTTACTAAAGAAGAGGAGGAAATGATCAGACACGTAAATAATAAAAGTGGTCACTAACTTTTGCATTCTTTCACTTAACAAGTATTCCTTAAGTGCCTACTAAGTGTCAGATAGTTGTCTCGGTGCTATGGGCTATGGTAACGGTCAAAGACAAAAATCTCTGCCTTCATGGGCTTGTATTGGTGTGGGAGGAAACACACAACAGACTGATAAAGGACTTTAATGGAAAAGAATATTAAGTGGGGACTTCTTCTAAGGAAAAATGTAAACCAAGGAAGTAAGACAGGGAAGTGTGGCAGGGTAAGAGAGGGAGGTTCAGTCTTCCATGGCCCAGTCCCATATGCCTTCACTGAATAATGCATTTGAGCAAGACCTGCCGGTGGTAATGGAGCAAAGCCATGCTGATCTGAGGGCTGGCGTGGTGGTTGCGGAGGGGAGAACTGTCCAGGAGGAGGACTCTATCAGTATAACAACCCTGGGATAGCAGCATAACTGACTGGTTTGAGGTGAGAGGAGACAGGTGTGTCCGAAGTCAGTGGAATAAGCAAGACGTTAGCTAGTTGATGAGCTCAGGGAGGTAAGGGATCTTAAGGGACATGATAGGTGATTGGGAAGTTTTTGGCTTTTACTCTCTCTGCAGTGGGAAGACACTGAAAACTTTTGAGCAAATGATAGACATTATCTGATTTATGTTTTAATAGTCCCCTGGACTGCTGCATAGAGAGCACTCATGTTGCAGGCCATGTGCTAAGTGTCTTAAGAGATGACCTCATTTTATCCTCACAGTTCTGAGATGTACCCATTCTATAGGTGAGAAAACCGAGGTGTAGGGAGGTTAAGTACTTCCTCAAGGTCATGGGGCTAGTAACTGACAGTGTTGGCATTAAAAGCCAAGCAGTGTGATTTGAGCATCCAAGCCATTAGCCACAATATTAGAGTCCCCTTCTAAGGGAAACTGGGATCTTGGCTGGTGGTAATGAGAGGAGAAATTATACCTATCACACATTGAGGGTTTTCTAGTCACTGTCTTGGTTTTTCTCATTAATTTTATTTATTCTCACAAAACCCCTATCAGATAAATATTGTTACTCTTATTATAGATAAGGGAGCTGAGGCTCAGAGAACTTACCTAGGTAAGCTCAGTTTATAATCAGATACTAGAACTCAAACCTGGGGCACTTCCTCTTCAAAGCCTTTGACTTACTCCTCCCAGATAAATATATTAAACTTTAAAATCTATTTATTGTAAAGAACCTATAATTGAGTCTTGTGTTTTTAAAATAATCCATTTTATCTTTCTTTTTTGATTGGATGCTTAGTCCATGTATTTCTATAATTACTGAAATAGTTTATTTAATTCTTTCTACTTGCTATATTTTTCTATTTTTTTCAATTTATAATTTGTTCTTCTATGCCTCCTTTTCTACCTGCTTCTGAAGTATTTATTTTTCATTTTTTTCTGTAGTATCTTTTTGTTCATTCTGGATTTTCTTGTAGCTTTTATCCTAGAAAGTTACTGTGCTTTTCTAGCTTCTCAGTATATACTGTAAGTCAACATTTTGCCACTTCACAAGTAAGTCAAGAAACTTTCAATAGTTTAACATCATTTAGATCCTCCTGTTCTTTGTGACACTATTTAACATTTGACTCCTACATTGTGTTCTCACAAATCTTTCCTCAAATTTTTGTTCTAAAGAGTTAGTGTTTAAAAAGAATTATACACATATTTATTCCTTCCAGTGTTCCTTATTCCTTCCCCAAATTTACTATTTCCATCTAGGATTATTTTCTTTCCACCTGAAAGTTTTCCTTTAGTGAATCTTATAGTGCCGTTCTAAAGACAAACTCCGTCAAAGTTTGTTTATTGGGAAATATCTATATTTTCACTTCAGTGTTGTACATTTTCACTTGATATAATTTTATTTGGTATTGCAGTTTCCTTTCAGGTTTAATGATATTAAAGCATTATCTTCTGGCTTCCATAGTTTTGTTTTGTTTTTGGCTTCCATAGTTTCTATCAAAAAGTCTGCTATCAGTCTTGTTACTTTGAAGGGAACGTGTCTCTTTTTTTCTTTGATTCTTTTCAGATTTTCTTCTTTGTCTTTAATTCTCAGCACTTTGTTTTGTTTTTAAGATTTTTAAAAAAAAAATTTTATTTATTTACTTATTTGACACAGAGAGAGAGATCACAAGTAGACAGAGAGGCAGGCAGAGAGAGAAGAGGAAGGAGGCTCTCGGTTGAGCAGAGAGCCCAATGCAGGGCTTGATCCCAGGTCTTTGAGATCATGACCTGAGTTGAAGGCAGAGGCTTAACCCACTAAGCCACCCCGGTGCCTCAAAGTTCTTAGCACGTTGAATGTGATGTCCCTAAATGTCACTTTTGGAGAATTCTCTGTTATCTCTACAACAACTGTTCTTTTTCAGTCCCCCTTCTCCTCTCCCTTTGGGACTTCAATTACATATAATACTGCCCTTTTTTTTTTTTTTTTTTTTTTTTTTGCTG